AAAGGAGAAGAGGAGGTGTAAGGAGGACATGATGGGGCAGGGAGGTTGAGTTAGGGAAAGAACAGGTGAGAGCAAGATAAGAGATACTATAGTAGAGGGAGACATTATAGGTTTAAAAAGAAATCAGGCATTAGGGAAAGGTCTGGAGATCTACAAAATGACATCAACTAACAATCTAAGTAACAGAGGAGAGACTACCTTAAATGCCCTCCCCTGATAATGAGATTGATGACTAACTTATATGCCATCCTATAGCCTTCTTCCAGCACCTGGTGGAAGTAGAAGCAGATACCCACAGCTAAACCTTGAACTGAACTGAAATCCAGTTGCTGAGAAGGAGGAGTGATGAGCAAAGGGGTCCAGAACAGGCTGGTGAAACCCACCAAAACAGCTGGCCTGAACAAGGGAGAGCTCATGGTCTCCAGACTGATAGCTGGGAAACCTGCATGGGACTGATCCAGACCCTATGAATGTGGGTGTCAGTGAGGAGACCTCGGAAATCTGTGGGGCCCCTTGTAGTGGATCAGTACTTATCCCTAGCATAGGAATGGACTTTGGGAGTCCATCCTACATGGAGGGATGCTCCCTGAGCCTAGACACAATGGGTGTGGTCCTCGGCCCTATCCCAAAAGATACAACAGTCTCTGAAGACCTCCTATGGAAGGCCTCACCCTCCCTGCGGAGCAGAAAGGGTATGGGGTAGGTAGGGTGTTAGTTGGGGAGGCAGTGGAGGAGGGAAGGGAGAGGGACCTGGGATTGATATGTAAAATAATCTCCATTCTAATTAAAATAAAAATAAATGAAAAGAAGTCTGTTTTCTAATGAGAGACAGAAAGGGAGTGTATCTGTATTGAACATGAGATGGGGAGGAATTGTGATGAGTAGAGGGAGGGAAAACTGTAATTATGATATAGTATTGAGAATTTATATTTTCAGGAAAAGAGGGAAAAAGGAAAAAGAATACAAAGAATAACATATTCTCGCCCGATATGTGATAATGGAAACCCTTGTCCTTGGTTGGTGGAAGTTCAAAGTGCTGTACCTATTGTGGAAATTGTGGAGGTTTGTTTCTTAAACAAACCAACAAAACTATTGTAAATAGATTAGCCCTATGTCCAGATATGTCAATCCTAGGCATATATCCAAAGACTCTGTATCATACCATAGATATATTTGCTCATTCATTTTCATTCCAACTCTATTCCCCATAGCCAGGAAACAGAAACAGTGTAGATGCCCATTGATTGACTCATGAGTAGGCAATGATAACATGACACACACACATATAAATAAACATATATATATATATATATATATATATATATATATATTAGAATATATATACTAGAATCTAAGTATAGCAGAATTGATTTGCACTTGAGATATGTTTATATGAGTTATGGTAGTTATGGTTATCACCTTTGCTGTTATTTCTGTGTGATTTTCACATCCTGTTTGTAAGCTTTGTAAGGATCAGGACAAGCCCTAAGTGCTGTCTTGACATTCCTTCTATCTGTGGGCTGATTTACCTTGTCTCTGATGCTAGCTCCTTTACTGATATCAGAGCAAGCATTTCCAGGAACCTGACTCTGGATTAGTGATTTCTCCAGGAAGCCTCCAGGTTTTCTGTGCCAGCTGGGACTGCAAAGGTGTCTAGCCTTGTGGCCTGAGTAACTACAGTTCCTTGGCCTACCTAGTGAGAGATAGCCATGTGGGACTGCCCTAACCGCTGAGGCACTCTCCTTAATGGAACAACAACAGGTTCTCAGCATCTCAGCTGGGACTCAGCTCTTGATAATATTTCAATGTAAGCTGTCGCAATATAGTATTTTTTATTATGCATATATTATAAATACATTCAGTCCATTGATTCTCTTCCTCTAATACCAAGGGGATCAGTAGAAGACAAGTGATATTAAGAGGGAAAAGTGAATATTGGGGAGTTGGAGGGAGTGAGGGAAGCAATCACTGAGGATGTGTGAAAACACTATACTATTTTATGTGTGCTTAGAAATTCTTCTGGAGTTACTGTATGTGGCAATGAGGGGGATGCTCATTCAAGAAGACATAGCTTATTGAATTGGTTAAAGTTCTCTAGAATTACAGAACTTATGGAATGAATCTCTCTATATAAAGGAATCTCTCTCTATATTGGAATGACTTATAGGCTGCAGTCTAACTACTCTCCCCATGACCTTCTGTGAATGGAAAGTCAAAGAATCTAGTTGTTCAGTCCCACAAGGCTGGATGTCTTAACTTGTGTTCCATA